TCATCCCCCTTTTGCAAATGAGGACACTGAGGCTCTGTGAGACCAGGCCGGCTGAAAAGCCCCAGAACCAGAATCGAGGCGCAGCCTGAAGGAGAGACTTGCTTTTCCTTCTAATTGTTAGGTATTTATTTGTGGGACTAAAACCGGGAATCCCACTCTTGGGATGATTCCTGTCTGTGTTACTCGGGCTGGGAGGTGTGCATGTGTGCTGGGTGGCCAGGGAGGAGTGAGCTTGGCAGTGCTCCAGAGTAGAAGTGGCACGTTTTCCCGGAACACCGATGACACGGTATTGTACTATAAAAAGAGACACAGAGTGGGATGAAAAATGTGATGGTGTTGAATGCTGCATGTCCGTGCATTTTTGATGGAAAACCCAGGCCCTGAAGACAGTTCTCTGCAGTCCGTGGATATCTCTCATCGCCCCGCATTTATACGTTTCTACCTCGGGGCTGCTGGTGGAAGTTCGAAGCAGCACTCCCATAAGTGCAAGCCCGGGGCCATCTGGGCCTTTCCACTCTCCCGGCTCTATGTGGTGAAAAGGAACTTCTGAACTGTGTCAGCGGCGTGGGAGAGTTGGCGCCACGCTCTGTTTGTACAGCTGCTCCCTGGGCTCAGGGCTGCTATCTTTCAGGCCCCGTGTATCTGCAAATGTGCCGGGAAGGGCTTCTGGGGCTGGAGGAGGTGAGCGTGGGGCAGGGGAGGTGGTTGTCCTCCAAGTGCATGCCTGTGGCCATGGAGAGTCACATTTTCCAAAGAAAATAATATATATATATATATTAATTGGTATCTATTGAATTTCCATAGTTCAAAATTCAAAAGTCATAAGAGGTTTTACAATGGAATCCTTGCTCTGCTTCTTTCCATAACCGCAATCCCTCCCTCACACCAGTCAGTCCGTGTTCTTTGTGTAGCCAAGTACATACATCTTTATCCCCCTTACCTCCTTCTTATACAAACAGGAGTATACCGTGTGTCGTAGTCTGTTTCTTACATTTTCTTCTCCTTTTAAAAAAAAAAATATATATATATTTTATTGATTTTTTACAGAGAGAAAGAGAGAGGGATAGAGAGTTAGAAACATCGATGAGAGAGAATCATCGATCAGCTGCCTCTTGCACACCCCCTACTGGGGACATGCAACCAAGGTACATGTCCTTGACCGGAATCGAACCCAGGACCTTTCAGTCTGCAGGCCGACGCTCTATCCACTGAGCCAAACCAGTTTCAGTCTCCTTTTTTTTTTTTTTTTTTAATATCACACTAAATGTCTGAGTAATTGGCATTTAGGTGTTTTCAATCTTTTGCCCTTATAGTGCTGCAATTAATACCTTTTTTATGCGTCCTTTTGCACACATGTAGGGTGAGTGCTAGAGGAAGCGTTGCTGGGTCGGAGAGAACGCACATTATCATTTTGACGGATGCTAACAATTTGTCTCCTGGGAGCGCACACCAGTTCCTGGCCCCTTAGCAAGGCATGAGAGAACCTGCCTCCTTACACCCCCCCACACACTATTACCCTGCCTTGGGCCTTGACTGTCGGGTGGCTGCAGAAATGATTTCAGTGCGATTAGAGGGGATGGCCTGACCTTGAAAAACCGTGGAACAGCACATCTGCTTTTGCCTTCACGGTGCGGACCCAGTGAGGCGCCTTCAGCCTTTCGGAATGAGTGGCACAGGCATCGAAGTTGCTGTTTCTTAACTACTTATGACTGAAAAATAGTTAAAATGTTAAAAAGCAAATCGATGCAATCCTTTTGAAAATAGGTGTCACATAGGTGACATGACACACGAAATGAGTCGTTCGAAACTGTGTTCCTTATGATGGAACCTCCTCCCTAGTCTCAGGACAGGCAGGACTTATGATCAAAGACTCACTGAAGTGCAGCGCCAGCAGCTTAAGTGAGGTCAGCGGTTGTCCTGTCCGAGCAGACTTCCTGGGCTTGGAGGCCTTCTGCTGCCTTTGCTAGATTCATGAGACACATTGTAAGCATTTGGAAAAGATGACACATATGGGGGAATAAGGACACATATGTAACACTATAATCGATCAATCAATCAATCAATCAATCAGTCAATAAAAAGAAAAGATGAGCATAGACCAAAGTTCCAAGTTGCAAGGGCTTTTGGAGATCCTCTGAGCCAGTTTTCTTTTCACTGGGAAGTCTTGGAGTAGAATTGCATGGGGGCCTTGCCTTGAACAAAGGGATATGGTTTTGAGGTTTTTAGATTCCAGAACTGCTGCAGGTGAGTCGGGTATGGTTTCAGAAAGAGGAAGCTTGTCCCCTGGGCTTTACATAAAATAGTGGACGGGGTGCATGTGACAGGATGGGGACAGGGAAGGAATTCTGGAAAGAACTGTCAACAGAAGCTTAAGTTAATTTATTTGTAAACATAATGTGGTCTACCAACTATGAAGACACAAAGAAAAATGTGTTACAAACGGTCGAAACAGGACTGAGCATCTGAACACACACAGGCTCCTGCTCACTCGCCTTGGGAGCTGGGAGCTGGGAGCTGGGAGCTGGGAGCTGGGAGCTGGGAGCTGGGAGCTGGGGCTGGAGCTGACCCCTGTTGGTCGCACTGAGTGATCTGCTTGCCTGCTCAGACCTCTCAGGACCAGAATGTGTCCCACAACTTTCAAACCGAAAATACCAAGTTCGAAACATCAAAACACAGCACGATCTCCTTTATCTAGTGTGTCAGGGTGCCAGTTAGGCCCCAGTCCAGATTAAACCAGATTTTGTGTCCTTGTCCTGTTCTTGTAGTTTTAGATCTGTGCTCTTATACATCATGGTCTGTGGTCCATTTTGAGTTAGTTTTTGTATGTGGTGTAAGGAAGGGGTCTGATTTCTTTCTTTTGCATGTGGATATATGTATCCATTTGTCCTAGTAGCATTTGTTGAAGAGTGAAGACTGTTTCCACCCCCATTGAATTGTCTTAGCCCCTTTGTTGAAAATCAGTTGATCTGAGGATGAATTTTTGGGCTCCCAATTCTATTCCATTGTCTATATGTGTATCCTTTTGCCAGTACTACACTGTCTTGATAACTGTAGCTTTGTAGTGTCTTATCTTCTAACTAGAGGCCTGGTGCACAGATTTGTGCACTGGTGGGGTCCCTTGGTCTGGCCTTCAACCTCTCGCAATCCAGGACCCCTTGGGGGATGTCAGAGAGCCGGTTTCGGCCCGATCCCTGCAGGCCACACCAAGGGATCCTAGTCTGCATATAATATCTTTGGTTAATTTCTTCCCGCTCTTCCCCCTTCCCTCATCCCTCTGAGATTGTTTTATCAATCTGTTTCATGTATCCATGCCTGTGGTTTCGGCTCCTGCATTGAGCCTCTGCCCCCTGGTGGTCAGTGTGCATTATAACTATTGGATGGTCAGATGGTCGCTTAGGCTTTTATATATATAGATAGGAAAGTTAGGGCAGGAATGGGTAATCTGACTTTTTCTTTCCTAGACTGACCAGTTAATTTGATTCTTTAGATCCCTCTTCAAGCTTCCAGCCACATATTACTTCTCCTTGTTCATCTTGTTGGTTTAAATAGGAGATGATATCCAAGAAGTGCTGAAAAATATTTGCTGCCGGGCCCTGAGTTCTCTTCACCATGTCAGCTAACTGTGTTCGGACTCAGTAGAATGTATAGAATTGAACATTTGGGTTGTGAAAAGATGTGCTGGTTTCTGAAACTCTCTACTTGGTAAAGTTAAGGATAGAACAGCTTACTGTACTGTTAAAAGATTTAAAAATCTTTCTGAATGGCTATGCAAGCAAGCAAGCAATCTGGCAACTAGCTCTCCCAGGCGGGCTGTGATATATCTTTGAAGTGAACCTCGCCCTCCCTGGGCCTTCCTTTCCTTGTGGGCATCTGCATCACTGTTGCATGAGCATTCGGTTTGCTAATCTGAGCATCGTTGTCGTAGTGGAGAAATGGAAAGTGAGAGATCTGCTGGGAGAGGTGGAATTCTGGACAAGGCCACTTATCATCACTTCAAGTTACTGAGCCAAAAAAAAAACAAAAAAAACAAACAAGGATTAAGTCCATGAGACTTATGGGACTAACAAGAACCATCCTGCTATTGCCGTTCCTTCTGTTAGGACTTGTGTGCAGCACAGGCTCATTCTCAGGTGATAGTGCCTAGAGCTTGTACTAGGAGCTATATTGTCATTAAAGCACATGTTAATTTCTCAATTGGTGTTGGACATTAAAGAACACCTATACACAGAAACTGCCCTTCATCAAGAGCTTCTATTAAGGGGCCCTGCATATGGTGAGGGGTCAGGGAAGTGACCTCACTGGGAGGCAGTGGTCACAGGTTATGGAACAGGTTGCAGATTCAGTCTGCCTGCATGTACTTCCTCTTGAGTGAATGTGGACAAGTCCCTAAGTCCATCCAAATTTCAGCGTCTTGCCTGTAAAATGACAATAAGAACAGTACTCCCCTCCTAGAGCTGTTCAAGGTTGAAGACCCGTGTGAGCACTCAGTGTTTACCTGAGCATCTCCTAGCTCACTCTCCCGGGCCCTCAGGCTTCTTTTTTTTTTTTTTTTCTTGTGCGCACAATGGCCTCCTCTAGACGTCAAGCACTCACACAGGCAGGGTTAAAACTCTAAGGAGCCAATTAGTACGTTCGTTGGGCGTTGTGACCCCACAGGCCTTGTGGTCTCGGCCACGACTCCTCACTCTGCTGTGGGAGCGGGAAGGCAGCCATCGGCAGTGTGTCCGTGTGTGGCGGTGTTCCAGTAACACCGCATTTATCACAGCAGGTGGCGGGCTGGACGTGGCCTGTGGGCTGCCGTGTGCCAGCCCCTGGCTTACGGAATCGAACCCGGGACCCTTCAGTCCGAGGGCTGAAGCTCTAATAACTGAGGCAGACCAACCAGGGGCACTAGATAGCTGTCTCCATCAGAACCAGTAGGTCCATGGTTTTGTAATAAATGCCAGCTATCCTCCGAGCTGGGGACTGCCCCTTGACACAGGTTTATGTCTTTTGCACAGAATGTCAAGGTCCTGGCCAGTCAGAACACCTCACAGCAGACCCAGGAGGGGGCTGAGCTGCGTGTGCGGGCCCTGGAGGAGGAGAACGAGAGGCTTCGGGGCAGCCTGGGCGAGCTGGAGCAGAGCGTGGCTCGGCTGCAGAGGCAGGCTGCTGACCTTCAAGGCGATGAGGCCAAAGCCAAGGACACCCTCAGGAAGTACGAGGTGAGTGAGGCTCGTGGTGCTGGGCAGTGGTGGATCCACCTTTCTGGGTGAGGGTGAGCGGTTTCAGGAGCGGGAAGGGACATGGAGCTGTAATTTAGTAGGAAGGGCCCCAGCACTCGTGACTGCGTCCTCTCTGCACACGAGGCTGTTTGTTTCCGCACAAGTGGTTTGAATGGGAGCTGAGCGTCTAGTGAGGCCTGGGAACAGGGCTGATCGGTCAGGGTGGGACACGCCTGGGCAGACTGCAGACAGCAGACACGCTCAATGTTTGGACCCTGGGCAGCGGTCTCCGCATCCCTGAAAAGGCCATCTCAGCACCACCATGGGGTTTGTTCTCTCTCATCACCGTCTATTTCCTGTTAACACACAGTTGATGGTGTTTGAAGTCACACACTGATTTAACAAACCAACTCTGGTTTGCCAGGTTTCTAGAGATGGGAGGCTGTTCTAAAGAGACATGCACTGAGGGCCACTGACAGGAAAAGAGGGGACAAAGACATGTAAAAGGTAAGGTGACCAGACATCCCGCTTTTGGCGGGACAAATTGTTAAAAATAGGGACTATCCCGCCAAAAGCAGGACATCTGGTCACCTTAGTAAAGGGAGATGTGCTCCAACAGAGGCTCCCCTAAGGTCAGAGTCACCTGGAAGCCTTCTCCAAGACTCTGGGTGCCGGAGTGGTGCCGTCCGTACCTGCTCCAGGGGCGAGGCTGGATATTGGTGCTTTCCAAAATCCATCCCAGGTGATTCAGGTGTTCACGTCTGGCTGGGCACGGAGCTGCAGACAGGCGCACGCATCCAGGCGCCCGGCTGTTGTGTGCCACCTTGACCCAGGATGCTCTTTCACTCTTTTCCTGCCCCGAGCCAGCCGCACAGCCGAAGCGCACACCTGAGCACACCTTGACCTCATGCTTTGTCGTAGGGGGAAATCCGACAGTTAGAGGAAGCCCTCGTGTGTGCAAGAAAGGAAGAAAAGGAAGCCGCGGCAGCCAGAAGGGCCCTGCAGAGTGAGCTGGAAGATGCTCAGGTAAACACAGAGGCTGTCACCTTTATCCCTCACACAGGGAGCCCGGCAATCAGAGCCGGAGGGATGTGTCCAGATGGCCATTGGTCCTCGTCTCCCGGGTAGCTCCTTTGTAGTAACCGCTGACCTCAGAGTGTCCACCCAAATCCATGGGTCTTCACTGGAGGACATTTGGCGGTGTCTGGAGAAAGATTTGATTCTCACAGTAGGGGAGGTACCGCTGGCATCTAGTGGGTAAAGGCCAGGGATGCTGCTGCACATTTTACAGTGCATAGAACACCCCCCCAGCAATGAAGTGTCTGGCCCCAAAGGTCAATGGTACCGGGGTTAAAAAAATCCTGCCCAGCTGGCATGGCTCCACCTATGAACCAGGAGGTTCACCTGTGAACCAGGAGGTCGTGATTTGATGACTCCTGGTCGGAGCACATGCCTGAGTGGTAGGCTCCATCCCAGTGGGGCGTGCAAGAGGCAGCCGATCAATGATTCTCTCTACTCTCCCTCTCCCTTCCTCTCTGAAATCAATAAAAATATATTAAAAAAGAAAAATGCTGATCTCGACGTTGCAGAGCTTGACAGCTTTCCCGATATAAACGTGAGCTGTGTGAGAAGCCAGCAGGGCTGTCCCCGGGCCCCGTGGCATTGGTTCTCTGGCAGAAGCCAAGTTTCTCTCTCCTCAGCCTCCAGCGAGTGCAGACCTTGAAGATGGCTTTGACAGGAGCGGGAGGAAGTCGTTTCCTTGAAACTAGATAGCTGTCTCCATCAGAACCAGTAGGTCCTTAGAAACATTAGCTTTTCCCCCTGGAAGGATAGAAAGCTTGATTGAAGTGCGTTCTAAAAAAAAAAAAAAAAAGTCTGCCCTGAAGTTCTAAGTTGACTTTGCACAGCGACCTCCATGTGACCCAGGTGTCTCTCTCCTCCTGCTCTCGGTTTTAAAGAACCAGCACCAACTCAGGCAAGTTGCTGAGAAGGTGAAAGCCAGGGTTTTTGAGCAATTGTCTGGAAGGAGGTTGTTAAGGTTTTCCATTTTACAGTGTTTCCCAAACTTTTGACATATGTGTACCCCTTCTATAATTTTCTTAACGCTGAGTACCCCTCGTACTCATGAGAACATAGAATTAGGCGCAGCTAACCCGGTGCAGTGCATATCCTCACCAAACTCCGGTGCAACGTGTACCCCCACCAAACTCTTCCCGTACCCCTGGGGGTACGCGTACCACACTTTGGGAAACACTGCATTAGGAGATCGAGGGCAGGGGTGGGGAGGGGCTATGAGAAGGGGTGAGCGCTGCCCGCAGGCAGTGTCCAAGTTTGTAGGCCTCATGGCTGCTTTGCTTTCCTTTCCGTACCCAGCTTTATTCCTTCAGGTAGTAGGATTCTGTCAGGTCCCCTTAACTCAGGGCTCCCAGCCCGTCAGCGGTCTTGACTTTATATATGGTAAAACCTTGTTTGTTCTTTCCCCTGACTTCGGTCATCTGAATGTCCTTGCTTTGGATATCTCTCTCTCCCTCCGTCCCTCCCTCCATCCCTCCCTGTGTGGATGGCCATTTCCCTGTGCGCCTGTTTAAGACTTGTGATGGCTGCAGCCCAGCTGCCAAAATGTGGGGTTTCAGTCTGTGAGCCAGTTGGGGACAGGAAGAGGAGAGATATTTGTCCTCTGTAGGGACAGAGCTCTGCCCTCCCTGTCATGCCCGTAGGAGCGCTGGGCGCAGCTATTGCAGGCCCTGCATCTCCATCGTCCTTTGGTGTTTCACACGGAAGGAAGTCGTTCACCTGCAGTGGGTCCAGGCTTCTAGTCCATCCAGGGGAGAGAACAGACGGCCTCCAGGCCTCCCGATAATGCAGCCCCTTCGCCCCCTCCTCTGGAGCTCTGCCATGCCTTGGAAATTACCGGAAGTCATCCCTCACCTGTTCCTTTGGTTTGGGCCTGCTTTCCCAGATGGGGAGCTGGTGCGGATGCTCAGTGCAGTGTGTGGCCATCCTCACTCAGTCCAGCAGGGATTCAGAAGGGCCCAGCCACCTTACCGTGGTTAACCTGAATTATCTGGTCTCAAAAGTTAGTGCTGTGATGGTAGTGCACCATCACCCTAAACCACTACGTTTTCTCTAAAATCTGGAAGCAGATAGGCAGTGCCTCTTTCTGCACGCCCCTTCCCAAGGCTAGCCACTGAAGGGGGCTTAGCCCTGGGAGAAGCATTTTACATTTCAACATCTTCTTGCCTTTAGCAATCTGTTGCACCTTCATGAATGACAAGTTTATCAAGTTGATAAATTTCTCCCAAGTTTAGGCCCTAGTGTCAAGGGGCTTGTATTGCTGGACTTAGAGATATAGTCACGGTAGCTACAGAGCATTGCCCTCCTAACTGCTAAATGCAAAGTTGCCATTTGGGACATATTTCATGTGAATTTGGGACATGTTTTCTCAGCAGTGATGTATCGGATTGTTATTTCTTAAATAACCAAAGAGGAAAAGCTGGAGAGATGTGCTAAACAACATCTCTCAACTTCAGAGTATATTAGAATTACCTGGGTCACTTTCAAGTGCAATGTGTGGGCCCCACTCCAAGAAAAATTGTGGATGGCATCAGAAAGGGCCAGAATCTGCATTTTTAGGAAGGAGGACTGCACCCTTGCCTGATGGCTCAGGTATAAGAAGTCTTTAAGTCACTTTTGGGAATAGATATTAATTTTCAACCAATGAGTATTATTATATGCCTTAACAGTGAGTCTGGGTTATGAGATATACCCAGATAGAACATTGATTCCTTGATTTTACAGACCTTAATGCCCTGCAAGAGAGGCAAGCATACAAGGAATATTTTAAAAATAATTTAGCAAAAACTATTCTTCTAAGAAAATGTGTGTGTGTTGAGGGGGTGGGTGTTGGCCCGGCTCCAGCCCTGCAGGAGAGCAGAGTTGGGTGGGTTGAGCCAGGGGTGGAGCCAAGATGCACCCATCACATGAAGTTGAGTAGAGCGGAAGCTGGCTTGTCTGCTGACCTGGAGCCCTGGGATTGGAATCCGGGAGGAAGAAAAGGAGAGGCTGGGGGACCTATAGGTGTAGGGGCTGAGTTGAATCCTAGAGGTTCTATGGATAGCCATTGATTGGTTGGTACTGTTGTTTTTCAAGAATTTACATCCTGAGATAACATGCTTCTGAGACTTTTCTCCCACACAATGGAACTATACACCGCTTACCTTACCCTGCGTGCCCCCCTTGGCCCTAACACCACTGAGTCAGCCGCAGGCAGACCCTAGGCACTGGCCCCATCTCTGGTGTGTGCCCAGCTGGGCTGTGGTGGGAAGCGCTCCTGCTCATGGTCCACGCTGAACTTCTGATTACCCTTCCTTAGCACCTTCGTTTCCCCCCAACCGCTTTTGTTGACTTTGGATCCCCACAGCAATTAACTCCAGCAGCTGGCTGGGTTGGCTGCCTTTTTGCCTGAAGCCAGAGAGGCAAGGACGCCTCCCAGGTGGCTGTTTGGCCCCAGGTCAGGTGGTTGGCCAGCAGAGCTGTTCACATGGCCTACAAACCAGGAGTGCCTGAAGTGATTTGGGAGTGTTTTCAAGATGCCTGAATTATTGCACGTGACAGCAGCTTGTAAACTGTGAAGCACTGTAAACACATAAACCATTGGTATGCAGCCTCTGCAGGGACACGGACAGCAGGTCCTCAGCGGTACCTGTACTAACCCCCACTCAGCCCTCATTCTCAGGATGATCCCGCCCAGGTGTGGGTCCTGTTGCCCCATCCTGAGCTGTGTCTCTTCTTGACACCCTCACATTGGTGGTCTCAGCCCTCGGCCATTTATAGAAGCCGCGGTGATCTTCCCAAGATATCTTAGGATTTCGTTTTAGAATTGCACGTTTTTTTTTAAGGGGCTTCAGTGTATGTGAGGGTGTGAGATGAGAGATCCAGGGAAACCTAGGGGAAATGTTGCCCCCAAGATGGTTGCATTTTAATGACTAGTATTTGGGGCTGAGTCACTAGGTAACCATGCATGCACTTTTCCTGGCTGGTGCCTCCTCTCCCATGTAACACCTCCTGCTTATCAAGTCATCGCCCTGGGGATTGCCACGTTCTTTTTCTGCTGGGGATGAGTCCAACCCTGGGTTCTGATGATTACGGCTCCCTGTACCCAGGTGGACGCTTGGCCTGTGGACAGTGTTCTCTGTCCTCATAGATTCATTGTTAATGGCAACGGTCACCAGCAGAGCAAATTCAAGAACGTTAGGTGCAACGTTGTATACCGCAATATGTAAATTGCCACATAGATTTAGGTTGACCTCATGTATAACCTTTAAAAAAAAAATAAGCTTTTTTTAAAAATTGATTTTTAGAGAGAGAGGAAGGAGAGGCAGAGGGAGAGAAACATCAATATGAGAGAGAAATATCTATCAGTTGCCTCCCATATGCACCAAACTGGGGATTGAACCCCCAATCTGGGAATGTGCCCTAGCTGAGAATCAAACCGGTGACTTTTTGGTGCATGGGCAACATTCAGCCAACTGAGCTGCACCAGCCAGCACTCATACATCACTTTACCCCACTTTTCAAGCATGAGCAATCAAGTTTTCAGACACTACCCTGAATCGCCACCCCCAGCAGCCTCGGCCGTTTTGCATCCTTTGTCTGCCTCTACGTGCTTTTGGCCAAGGGAGCTTGGCCCCTGAACTTCAGAAGCAGCAGTATCCGTGCGTCTCTGAGAGGGCTTGACTTTGATCCCTTATCATCGATGTAACCGGTCTGATAGCTTTGTGGTGTGGTTGTGAAACCCTCTCTGCCGCCTGTTCCTGTGCCTGACCTGGTGGGATGATGACAACACTGCCCTTTCCCTGCCCTCTGCAGGGAAGTCTGAGTCGGGCCACCCAGGAGCAGAAGCAGTTGTCCGAGAAGCTAAGAGAGGAGGCTGAGCAGAAGGAGCAGTTAAGGAGAATGAAGAACGAAATGGAGAATGAGCGCTGGCACCTTGACAAGACCATTGAGAAACTGCAGAAGGAGGTGAGGGAGCAGGAAGAGGTGAGAGAGTGGAGGGAGGGGAGCACGGGGAAGATAGGGTGTGGGATCCAGGCCTGATGAAAGCTAAGGAACCTGCAGTGATGTGAAAGCACAAACGCAGATTCCCTGGAACAGCTCATTGGACTTATTGAGAATCCCAGATACAGCCAAATAGGTTTAGACTGTGCCAGCCCCTCTGGATGCTGGGCCTAGCTGATTCCCAGTTAGAAGGGGCTACACCTGGACAGCACATGACTAGGTGCTTTGCAAAGTCTTTGGAGAGGCTGTAAGGGGAAAGAGGAGGAGATGCGACCTGTTCATGGGCCCCAAAGCTAGCTCCCCGGCCCCAGATGGAGCATGCAGGTGGGCTCACCCTGTGTCACTTCTTCCAGATGGCTGACATTGTCGAAGTGTCCCGCACATCAACACTGGAGCTCCAGAACCAGCTGGATGACTACAAGGAGAAAAATCGCAGGGAGCTTGCAGAAATGCAAAGGCAGTTGAAGGAGAAAACCCTAGAGGCAGAAAAGTCCCGTGTGACCGCTTCAAAAATGCAGGAGGAGGTAACACCAGGCCAGACCAGCTCCTGGTTCTGCCTTTATTCAGAGTACCCTTCCAGACTGCACTTCTTCTAGGAAGACTGGGGGTGCATTCTTAAGACAACATCCATGCTTGATTCCTCCGTCTTAAAGCTCTGGATGGTTCCATGGGGTAAATGGTTTTCTAAGGCACAGCGCACCAGGGCCTCGGAGGTGAAATTGACATGACTGTAACTTGACCATTTCCTTGACAAATCCAAGATTTTCTGCCTAGAAAGATGAGCTGCCATTTATGGAGCACCAGTTGTGTCCAAATGATTCATATATATTAATGTTTTAATTTAGTCCTAGAAATGAATTACTACATGGGATTATAGTAACCATGGTGTTCTTTTTCTCCTGCCATTCTTAGAAAATACAGACTTTTGTGGGAGCATAGACAAGAGTTTCAGAATAACAATAATGAAGACAAAAAGAAATCTTTAGGAATTTATGAGTATTGGAATTATTAAAACATATTTTTGGTTTTACAGTGAAGAATAATAGAACAAAGTAACCCAACTGTTAGTTCCCTTAAGTCTGGACTTCTGAAGGACTGAGAAACATAAAGGGAATGTTTTTGATTATTTCAATGGAAAGCTGAAGGCTTCGAAATGCGCATACAGTGAATGCTGATTGCTGTCTATGCTTCTCACCAGCTGCATGACCTTGAGCACATTGCCCCAATTTTCTGAGCATCTGTTTGTTGTTCCCTCTTTAAAAATATACAAAATAGTAATGATTTAATAATTAACATGCAGGGCTATACAGCAAAAAGTCTGTATATCCTGAATACTAACATTATTTTTATTTTTATTTTTTATCCTAAGTCTTACCTTTTTTTTTTTTTTTTTCCATAAGCAGTTCCAAGACCACTAAGATTTCACAGGAAAACATGTTTTTCTTTAAAAAACAAACTTTTAACATCTTTGATGATCAAAGAAAAGTAGCCCATGAGTCAGTGTTAAGTGTGTGGGAGAAAATGGATGCTTATCATAGACTTCTAGAACACGTCTGAAAGCATCCTGGGAGCACATCCCCCTGGCGCAGGGTCATAGGCTACAGGAATCCAAGGAAAAACTGAAATTAGCTCATTGACATCACAGTTCTCTTTGGCATTAAAAACTCATTCCATTCTACAGCAGGTGGGCGGAGGACTCAGATATTCACCAGGATAACAACAAACACCTGGTAGGCAGTTTATTTTTTTTAATTAAATATATTTTATTTATTTTTTTATAGAGAGGAAGGGAGAGAGGGAGAGAGTTGATGAGAGAGAAACATCAATCAGCTGCCTCCTGCACAACCCCTACTGGTACATGCCCTTGACTGGAATCAAACCTGGGACCCTTGGCTCAATGGATAGAGCGTCCACAGGCAGATGCTCTATCCACTGAGCCAAACCAGTTAGGGCTAGTCTGCAGTTATGAATTCATTCGTAGTATCAGAGTGACCCTTGCAAACTGCTTCTGTTGCCCTTCCTTCCCTTCTTCCTTCCTTCCTCTCTTCCTTCCTTCCTTCCTTTAAAAAAAAATTGTTTTTTATTGATTTCAGAGAGGAAGGGAGAGGGAGAGAGAAAGAGAAACAATGATGAAAATCATTGATTGGCTGCCTCCTGCATGCCCTGGGGATCGAGCCCACACTCAGGCATGTGCTCTGACCAGGAATTGAACTGTGACCTCCTGGTTCATGGATGGTGCTCAACCACTGGACCACACTGGCCGGGCCCTTCTGTTGCCTTTTCTACGACTAGTTCTTCTGCTGGAATCTTCATTTTGGAAGGAGCCTTAGTGATGTCCTAGTTGGATAAGGAAACTGAGGTCCAGAGAGGGTAGTTAAGGTCAGACAGAGACCAATGTTGTCTATAAAACGGCCCTAATGAAAAAAAGGATTCCTTGTGATGAAAACAAGATGGCAGATTTTCTCAGGGGTGAAGCCCTATGAGACTGTTTGCATTTGAATGGCAGAAACGGACACCTCATCCTTCTGGAAGGAAATGACAGAACCTCCTGAGTCCAGCTGCTGGGCTCATGGAGTTAAGACAAAAGTGAACTAACAAGTGAAGATCACTCGGGATCCTTAAAAACTCAAACTCAACTCTGTTCACTTATCTTCCTGCCCCCCAACTAAGTTAAAAAAACACACAAAAGCCACAGGGTCCACCCCAGATGCAGTCATACTTCCTTTGTTTTGAGGGAAATAGACATTTTACCCATTTTGCCTTCGGTCTGCAGCTAGGGAAGTTCTGATGCAGGTAATCTTTAGAGAGTTAAGACAGAATGCATTATTGTTCAGTTTATCTTCTAAGTCTCACTTAACAAAGGGCAGATTTAACTCTGGGAAGACAGCAGGAGTAGGTTCAACAGTTACTTGCTTACTTGTGATTCCAGGTGGTATACACATGCTCTCGTGCATGTGCTGGTTAAGTGCTCTCAGTATGCAGAGCCCTTGAGATGTCCCAGGCTCATCCTGGTCTGGTGGAGGGATGTACTGGGCGGTGTAATGAAGGGATGTGCTGAGAGCAGCCAGGAAACGCAGCCTGTCAGTCTTTCTGACTCTCAAACCTGTGTTTTTTTCTGGGATTATTTTTTTATTTATATTCTCATCACAGCTCTAGGTTGGTTTTAAAATTGTTTCAGTGTTGCAAATTAGGACACTGAGGCATGGAGAGATTATATTTTTAAGACGTTTTTGGAGAGATTTCGAATGTTCTGGAGTAACGCTGACCCTAACCCTAACTCTAACCCTAATCTTAACTCTAACCCTAACCCTGATCCATCATCCCTTTTTCATGAGACAATGTTCCCTTGTGTTTTCACTCACAGTTTCATTTCACAGCTGTCTTTTCACTCAGTTTCCACCAAAACCAGGGTTTTCACCAGGAGAGGTCTTTATAGAAATGCCTGGTGATCTGTCAGCCACCAAGAGAGGAACAATATCTGAAAGTTTTCCCACTGATCTTTCTAAACTAGTCTAACCTATTGGGTCCACTGACCCTCCCAAGAACATCTTTTCTGTGAAAATCTCCCCAAGCAATAGTATTCTTTCATGGAGTTTGTCACTGACCCTCATTTACTCCCTGAAAAAAATACCCCCTGGGGTAGTCTCTCTAAGACTGCTTTCAACCTTCTCCAGGAGGGTAGGAAGTTGAGAACAAAACGGGCAGCCTTTGTCCACACAGAGGTTTCAGTAACACCTGGTGTGTGCGCAGGTGGCTGGTCCCTCCCGGGAGATTCCAGAGAAGTGGAAAACCAGGACCATCCCTGTGAATCAAACCCTCTTGTCTGTGCAGCCTTCAAAGCTGGTAGCTCAGTGCCACCTTGTGGATGAAAGGAGCACTGTCAGTTATGACCACTGATTTTTCTTCTAGAGAACCATGGTTTTCACCTCACTGGTGTATTTATATTACTAGATTTTGTGCATGCAGGTTGCTTTGGCAGGGGCTGGGGGTCCTTATTTTGGCTTTTATTTCCCCCTAACTTTAAACCTCTACTGAAATAATGCTGATCCAGGCAGGTAATCAGTTATCCCCTGGAAGCCCTTACCTAGCTCAGTGGCTTTCAGAGTTTCTGATTATGACCGAAGGGGAGACATACCTCTTGCATTGCAACCAGTAATACATCCCTACAGGTATGTGAATATTTAGTGCAAGAGTTTCACAAAACATTGTTTGTACTCTACTCTGAGTATTCTTTTATATTTAATTTTAAAATCCTGGCTAACATCTACTATATTAAATTTATAACCCAATGGGTTGCTACCTGTAGCTGGAAAAGGTCCCCCCCCCTTTTTTTATTATAGAAGAGGAAACTGAGGCCCCAAGGGCAGTGACCTCAGTAGTGGGGCCCACCTGCTTTTCCTTGGGCTCTGCTTGCTCACTGTCAAGGGCTCTGTGCCTTGACGTGCCCCAGCTGAGCAGCCCCTTCTCCTTCTAGATGCGCCTGATGGAGGAAGAGTTACGGGACTCTCAGAGAGCTCTGGATGAGGCGCTCACGAAGAGGCAGCTCCTGGAGCAGACGCTGAAGGACCTGGAGTACGAGCTGGAGGCCAAGAGCCACCTCAAAGACGACCGCGGCAGGCTTGTGAAGCAGATGGAGGTCTGTGGGCCACCTGGGCAGCCAGGGCCTGCGGGGAGCGGGAGGGGTACCTCGGCCTCTGGGGAGTCTGTGCTTTTTATTCTCTCAACCAGCCAGAGGTCAGGAAGGCCGTTTCTTATCTTTTGTCTGTGCCCTGACCGGGAATTGAACCCACAACCTTTTTGGTGACCGGGAGGATGCTCCAACCAACTGAGCCACCCGGCCAGGGAAGGAAGGTCATGTCTTGACCTGGGGAAGCATAGTTCATAGGCTCCTTGGGCATCAGCGCTGGAAGGAGTGATGGAAGTAATTTAGCCTGGTGTCCTCATTCATTGCCTTGAAGAGGAAGCAAAACAGAACCCCCAGGAGGCTAAGGGCTTTCACACAAGGGAACATAGTTCGTTTTCTGTGGGCTGCATTGGGCTGCACTGTTGACTACAAAGGAGATGAGACTGCTGCAGATCTGGAGAGGGGCCAAGCGGTGCTGTGAGGCCACACTTTCTACGTCCTAGGGACACCCAGACCCCTTGCTCCGTTCTTGTCTGCGAATTTTGGCCCATTTCCCCTTGCAGATGACCTAGCTTGGCCAAAGCTAGCAGCAACCTGGCTCAGTTCACTTTTGCACACACAGTATAAACACAGTCCAAGGCAGGATGTCAGAAAGTGCTCAACGGAGTCACCAACTGGGAGGGATCTGTTCACAAGATGAAAATGCAACACATTAGGAAAGCGAATCAAGTCATAGAATCTAAATAGGAATAGCCTACTAAGAATGGCAGGAAGAAACTTAATATCAGGTCACCTGAATTTATGGAAAAGAATAATCCTCAAGAATAAAATCAACCCCTTTCCCCATATCGCATCCCACATCCCAGTGAAATTTGTAGCGGGAGAAAGAGACTTAAACATCCGCCTCAGATCTATGAGAGAAGATAAAATTGTCAAGGTTTTGATGAAGGGCAGAGAATGCTCAAGGCCACAGAGAGAGCTTACATTTAAAATCAATGGAATTCCTGATTCAACTTTGCAAATAAATAGAAATAACTTTTAAAACCTCCAGGGGCTTAGAGGCAGTTCGTATCTAGGGAGTGATGTTTCAGCCATTAAAGGTTTTATTAGAGTGCTTTTCAGAGGCTGGGAGAACCTGGTTAGTTTTCTAGGGTTGCTCTGTGTTTTGCTGATGTCCTGGTTTTGATTTTATTAGGGGATATCATTTTAAGGCAAGCTCCATGCATCCCAGTTAACTAGGAAGTAGTAATTCTAGAGCCCGAATGATTTGGTTGGAAGCAAGCTAAGGCCTCGTCAGGCAGTAGACCAAGAGCCTTTGATGTAAGGACCCTGGGCCTGGCCCCTTAAGCACCCCGGCTGGGTTCTGTATGGAGCATGTGTGAGGCAGGAAGAGAGCACCGAGAAGAGGCGCTTTCAGCTAAACATTGAGTTGTCAGGTCATCCCTTCTAGAATATTCTGACTAAAAAAAAAAAGAGCATTGACTTTTGCTAACTCAAGGTCTGCAAGCCATGGCATAGCTAAGCTCTGTTTGCCCCTCTGCGATATTGTAGGTATTTCTCTTTAATTACAAAATGAATGGCTCTCAAGGGCCTAGCCTGAGAGGCACCCTGGAGGGGTATTTCCTCCCCTAAGAGCCAGCTGGCATGCTGTCTTGCGGTGATAATATCTTGCCTGTTCCTTCACTAGCATTTCCGTTAATCCTCAGGACTCAAGAGCACTCTCAACAAGAGCTTTTTTGGTAAACTCGGAAACTCAGGTGGTAGGTAGTCTTATGTAAATGTGGCCCTTGTGGGTCTGTGGTTTCCCAGCTTGAGTGAAACAGGCCTCGGAGGGGTTGGCACCACTGAACAAAGAGAAGGTTTGGTGCTGAGTCAGCTGTGCTTCCTGAGTTGGGCTTCGGGACTCTTGGCTCCTGTGAGAGAGCTGTCCAGGATCCCTACAGATTTCCGTCAGTGACAGGGAAGGCAAGCATACACATTTAGTCATTCACACGGATTGTGTGACTTCTCTGTTTGGCACTTAGAGAGGCACCCATAGCTTGCCAGTCAACTTAGACGATGGCAGAGACAGTATTTATGTGCAGGTGCCTCGGACTCTCGTGTTTAAAAACTCTCAATGCTGGTTGTATGTGTGTGTGTGTGTGTGTGTGTGTGTGTGCGCGCGCACACGACTCTGAGTTAACCCAGACATATGACAAATTGGTTAGTGGTAGTAGAAACACATGCATAAAGTCCACATCCCCAGTCCAGGTAGGTGGTTTGAGTTAAAAAAAAAAAACACCTTTTTTGTATACAAAGATACTTTGCACTTCTTTTCTCTTAATGCTCAATGATGTTCCATTAGGAGCCAGCAAGGAAGGCAGGAATTACCCTTCTTCTGAGATGGTTCGCTTGGCAGACTGGGCCATACTGTGTTTACGTTACTCTGGGCCTGCAGAGCTCTACGTGAGGTTCCTTGGAAGCAAGAGGCAGGTGCAGAAAGGCTGTTATAGACTCGACTCCTGCAAGGCTCTTGGGAACCCTGAGCAGGAGGAAGGCAGAACATTGTCGTGAGCTTGGAGTGTTCAGAGGCATTTGCCTTGGATGATATCTCATTTCCCACACGTAACGTAGATGCCTTAGGCTAAGGTAAATCTTAGCGGTTATTGCTTCATAAGGAGGAAACGGACTTGAAAGAGATGTACTTAAATATCCTCAGTGCTTATGTCAGGGTCTGGGGTGATATTTTCCTCCTTTAACGTGTTTCCTAACTGCACAATTACACTTTACAACATGAAAGCAGTAAAACACGGATTTAAAAAACCTGCTTAGGCAGCATGAGAAATAGACACATTCTTTCCCAAGCCCTAAGGACACTCAGCTCTGACATGTCCCAGGGGGGGTTCCTTCCACAGGGCGTTCCTTGCTCCTGACCCAGAGCCAGGTCAGGGTAAGTCAGTGGGCTGTGCTTGTGTCTTCTTTCTTAGGATAAGGTGTCTCAGCTGGAGCTGGAGCTGGAAGAAGAAAGAAATAACTCAGATTTGCTGTCTGAGAGGATCACTCGGAGCAGGGAGCAGGTACTGCACATGGTGGGACGATGAGGGGTTGACCCGTATGGAAAAGGAAATGGGAGAGGTCAAACCTGAGGATTCGGCTGGAGGAGGGAAGAAAGCTCATGCCTATGGAAACAGTGGAAGAGGGCTTACTCCCAGTCGTCACCATAGGAAGCTACGAGACCGGAGGTGTCATATGTAACGTGGAAATTTCCCGAGTGGTTGTGGATAACAGCCCCTTAGCCATCGCAGGCGAAGTGCTTTCAGAGCCGAAGCTCTAAGAATCATTAGTTCAGCAAGCAATTGTGGGAGATTCGGTAGCTGCACTACGTGAGTGCGATGGGAAATCAATGATATGATGTAGGCTTTTACTTTAAGGACTTTGCACGCTAATTGGCGATATATAAACCTATGAGGCATTCATAGCACAATAACAGTACCTTTTCAAGTGAATGCTTTCTGCAGTTTTCAAAGGAGTTTCACTACATTTGATCCTTACAGCCACCCGGGGTTGGGGGGGCGAGGAGACAGCTGGGCACAGTTCACCCTGTCCTCACCATGTAGGTAATGGAGCTAATTTTCCAAACTACACTTAGGGTAATTGCAAGACTTTTAGATTGCGTTTCCATTTTTAACGAAGGCAAAGTTCAGAGTGGTTACATCACATCCTGGAGACACAGTATCACCTCACTAGAGCCTGGTGGCCACATCCTCACTGCCTGCCCAGAGCACCTGGGAGAGAAAACGTGTGCACGCTGTGATTTGGAGAACTTCTGTTCGCTCATCTCGTTTACATGATGCCTGAGGGTGCCTGGAGAAACCTCTCATGAGACGCACTTTCAGTGACCACTGAGTAGTACGCCCTGCTCCTGAGGATGGTGCTGGGGAACCTGGACAGAGACATTTAGAAAACTCGCCACTTTGATTTGCTTTGGGCTGGTCTTAATTAAACAATGCAAACAACACCTAAAAGCCTTAGGCGACACTGAGTAAAATTTAGGAAATTATGTGTATAAAGGATTGACATAAAAAAAAAAAATCTGAAATACAAATTAATTTTTGCAAAATCTTCCTTCTCAGAGAAGCACTTTCCTCTGACCTCTCTTACGCATTTCACGTTCACCACCGTCCCCCATCTCAGGCTGACCAAGAACTTCGGGTTCCGATGCTGAGGGACGGTGTCATTCTGAGCTGGTAGCTTCTACTCAAGGCTGGAGGGGAGTCACTGGTTTCTTTTCCATCTGCCATTGTTTTCCTGCTGACAGGTTCTTTACAATCTAACAAGGTGGTCACACTATACTGCTTCTGAGCGTGAGGGAAGTTCCACCCATAGGCTCCATCCCCCTGCCCATTGAGCCCAGTGCTGTACTGGCAGCCTTCCCCCTGGGTGGGGTGTGTGTGTGTGAGTGTGTGTGTGTGTGTGTGTGGCCTCCCTCCAGCCTGAGTGGCAGCACTTTAGAAAAAGACCTTCGTGAAAACCTGAGGGCCAGATGGAGAGCTCAACCGTGACCTTTGCACCCTACTAGGCTCTTACGAAAATTTTATAAATTTTCTCGCTGGTAGAAAAGCTGTTGTGTTACCCAACCTGACTAAGTAGCCTCATTACCACAGGGCATTTCTGGATCTGCCAGACATTGATGATGAGAGAAGAAGTGGTCATAACTTTGTTTGGCCAGTGCTTCTTGTGACACCTGTGCAAGGAGGAATGGTAGGAAAGCATGCCATCCTGTCAGTAACCAGGCGGTTAAAACAGACTTCCGACCCATGGCCTACACCCGAACAAAACACAGACAAGCTGACCCAGAAGGTGGCTGCCACCCTTGGTCAGCTGATGGCCCCACCCTCAGAAATCAACCCCGAGGAGCCATTTGCTTTTGGCGCCTGGCCACTGCTCTCCTTGAGCTCTGGGGTCCCGGGGAGCGGAACTGCTCTCTGTGGCCATGGTTGAACATATTTTCACAGAGCCAAGGACCTGAAGTTAAGCGCAGGGAGAATGTTATGGGAACTAACTTGGCTTACCGGGAAGAGCACTGGGCTGTGAGTCAGTATTTGTCCAGGAGATTTCTGAAGGTTGTTCTAATTTCTAACATTGAAATGCTGTGAGGTTTTGTAAAACCCAAAGTGTCCGAGTCTCCCCCCCCGGCCTCATTCCCTCCCTGTAGCTGAGTTATATGTCCGAAGAGATGAGTTTCACCGACTCTAGCCTGTCCTTGAGGTGCTTTGTTTGAAGAGATGGTGCATGTCTGAAAAGTGGGTCTAACAAGAAATAGCAATAGATGACTAAATGCCAAGTGAAGGGTTCAGGCAGCTGATGAGGAAAAGACCATCATGACAAGACTGTGGGAGAGTTCCTAGAGGAAGGTGAGCGTGGAGTTATCTTTGAAGAAAGGGTCTGATTCAGACAAACGAAGAGCAGTGGGAAAGGAATCCTAGAAAGAACGAATGTGAACGAGAATTGGGAGTTAGGGGCACTATGAGCAGGGCTCTGGTTTCCTTACAGGATTGACAGGACAGGTAGGTTGAGAGTTTTGAAGGGACTCTATGCTGACAGCACCAGGGACCACAGTAGGTCATTGGACAGAACAATGAAGCATACACAGTGATCTGCGAGATTACTGTAGCTGGGGTGGGGGTAAGGACAGGAGAAGGGGAGATCTGGAGGGACCTCATCTGGGCTGTTCTTAGGGAGAGAGCACAGGAAAGGCAGTGTGAGATCAGACATTCTATTCTTTTCACGCTCTCCTCCTCTTTCTCCTGTGTACTAGTATATCTGGTGCTCAGTACATGCTGGCCACATTTTTTTCTGAATTTCCAGCCTTCCTAAGGCCATTATTTCCCAAATGTGCTTAGGATATTATTGTTCAAACTGATGGATTCAGGGAATCCTAACTGAGAGACAAGTTTTTCAAACTTTTGCATGTTCGGGTTTTGTTTTCAAATCTGACTAGCATGAAGGAGAGGGATGGATTTGGATTGGATTTGGATTTGGTGAAATGATTTCTTTTATAAAACAAAGGTGAGTATTTGTTTTCTCACCCAAATATAGCGTTACCTTATACAGGGTGTGTGTGTATGTATGTGTGTTGGGGGGAGGGGGGATGTTTCTGGTTGACTTAACTTTGAAGGAAAATTTATTTAAATAGAGGTATTTTACTGGATTTGCTCTGTTTAAAATCTAGATAATCCTTTTTTCCTCTTCTTCCTCTAAAGCCACCTTACTGAGGACTCCTAGGTGCTCGGTGCTGTGCCCGGGCCTTGCGTTGGCTTTCAAAAGCCCGAGGGCCAAGGGACTGCCTGGGTCACACAGCATGACTCCAAAGCCCACTGCTCCCCCCTTTCCCCCCCCCAGTTCCCATCGTCCCAGCACCAGACTGTAAGAGTAACCTCCCCCAATACATGTGGGGTCTCGGTTTCCAAGTTAAAAACCATGCCATGCTGTCTCTTCATATGGCTGAGGATTTCCGTTCACGGGTTCCTCTCCTCTCTCCTCACGAGTCCAGGACCCAGGTGGCAGAAGGAGGCCCTGCTCGGTGTGTTTTAAATGAGCGCGGGGTCCTAGCTCCTGGGCACTGCTGTGTTGTCGCTGGTGGCTGAGTGCAGGCAGGGAGCAGGGAGCTGGGCCTGAGCGGAGAGCCGTTCGCTGGGCTGCAGAGCAAAGACGACCCAGCCCAGTGGGAAGAAGATTCCTCCCGCCCAGGCAGCTGGCAGGCAGGATGAAACATGCCAACCTGAGAGCTTCCGGGGGCTGCCGGGGCTGCTCGGCTCCCCACTGCCGGCCCCTCCTGCTCCTTAGTCTGCACCTGGGGGTGCAGCCACCAGGGTAGGGGACTGGGAAATAGCGCTCCATCCAGGCAGTCAGTGAGTGAGAGATCCAAACGGGATTTCTTTCTTTCTTTTCATTAAAAGAATCCTAATCTCAGAATCACCTCCCGTGATATCAGCTGTTCACAACCCTCTTTTTCCTTTCTTGTGACTGAGTATCAATTCAATGCCAGCGAGGAGGGCAGGCTCACCCGTCCCTCTCCCGCCCGGTGGCAAACACAGGTGATGGGGTTGGATATTGTTATTAGCGATCATAAATACCTCTGGCTGCTCATTAACCCAGAGGACAGTTGCTTCTATTCCCGAGGGCTGGCTCAGGCCTCCGACCCAAAGCCCCCCGGCAAGCGATGCTGTTGCTCTGATCCCCGGGCTCAGAGGTCAGCACTCGCTCAGCCCAGCTGTGGTGAGCGGCTGCCTCCGGCTCCCGTCCTGGTTTTAATTTGACGGGAAGGTTTTCATTTGGTCTATTTAATGCAGCTGGTGGGTAAACAGCACGCACGTGAGGCGCTGAGCTTACGTAAAACTGTTTCCCCAGCCTCAGAGTCACTTCCCCGTCCCAAAGGAGGAAGCTGGAGGCTGCTGCTGTCTTGCCTCGTGGGCTCAGGAGGTTTGGAATAGTCCCAGCTCCTCAGGCCACTCCCCGGGGGCCCGGGACCTGGCCTACGCTCCAGCCCATTCATCCTTGGGAACATTACCCATAACATCTCATGACGTGCCTTATACAAGGCTCCGCACGGCAGGTTTATTTTAGAATTTAGTGCCGGGCTGTCCTCGGTGAAGAGCTGCAGGAAGCCTGTCGTGTTTGCCAAAAACCTGGGTTTCCAAAAGACTCGAGAGAAATGGGCCGCCTGGTTCTAGTAACTGTTAAGTTTTATGGCTACACATGTGTTCCTTCCTCTTCCACACTCTGATCTGCTTGATCCTTCCATTTTAATGGCCATCGTTGAGGGGCTGAGTGGAGAGAAATAGTTATTGTTTGGTTTGTGCTTTTCCTGGGAGAGGCACCCTCTGCCTGGGGCTCTCCAGGGGGGAAGAGGGGAGTCTGGAACCCGGGGAGGGCTCCCTGATGCTGCTCCCCCAGGCTCCTCTCCCTCGGAGGCCCGCTTCCTGGCAGGTCCAGAGCTTTCGGTGCAGGCCACTGAGGGAGGGAGCAAGACCTGGCCAGGGGGTTGACCTCGCAGGGTTTTCCCTGAGCCCCGCGTGGGCCCCGTGCTGCGTGCCTGCTCAGCGATCCTCGAGTCCCTCCTCCTAGACACGGCGTCCTCTGGGGCTCCGGGCTCCTAAGTCCTCGCCAGAGCTCCCCCTCTTTGTAGGGGCTGCTCTTCCTGAGAGCCCTGGGCCTACAGGTTTGCTGATAGGAAGGAAAGGAACAGAGGACTTTCAGCCAGAAATCCTGGACTAGAAGCCCAGGTTAGACCTCCACCCATCCCGAGACTTCCCCCTGGAAGTGGGGGTGACGGCATGGGCCTCGAAGAGTGCCGGAGGATTAATGGGCTCCCAGCAGGCACTCCCAGTCGCTCAGCGCTGTTTCCAGGGCCTCTTCCTTTTCCTCCTTCCCTCCGAGGTCCTGGCCCCCGGGCTGGAGCACAGCTGCAGAAGTCACCCGACCCCCAGAAGCAGATGCTGTGCAGCTGCAGCGAGACCCTTGCCTCTGTGCTGCCGGCCTTTTATGGTCTCTTGGCGTTTTGTGGCCTCACATCCCATAGCAACGAGATTTCTAAATGTCTTTCTCTCTCTCCAGGCCTCCAGGTCTTCCTTCACTTTTGGGAAAATAACCTCCCACTTCCTTCTTTCCTCTCTTTCCCCTCTCTCCCTTCCTTCCTCTGAGACAGAGGAGCCTGCCTCCTCCTTCCCCCCTAAAACCCTACATGCAGGGCATCTCCCCTGCCACCCCCTCTGTGCCCTCACAGCCCTCTGGTTGAGGCTGTCATCCTGTCACCCCACGGGGGTTCCAGAGGGAGGTGTTCTTCCTGGCCAGTGCCTCCCCAGCCCCTGCAGCCTGGCTCCCTCTGTGCCAGCCTCCCAGAGCGAACTTTTTGCCAAACCAGGTACTTCCTTCCCTGCTCCTTCTGCCTGACCTACCTCAGGCCTCGCCCCTCTCCGCTTTTGGGACAGGACAGCATCCTGGTTTTCTGTCTCCCCTACCAGGCACGGCTCTGGATCCCCCTCATTCTTCATGTCTTCTCCTTGGTGAGCTCATCTGTCCTGTGGCTTCATGTGGTGCCACCCCGTCTCCACACCTGCACCTGCAGCCGCTCCTGGACCCTCGGGGTGATGGGGACAGTGACTTACCTACTTCCTGGGAGCTGGGTTACATGGGTAACACTGTCACACTGCTCTGCACGTGCTTTAGTAGGTGCAGGAGAGGTGTTCACTGCTGCAACCTGTGTGTGGGCCCAGCGTGACGGCCCCTGTCTGCCTCCCCCTCATCTCTCTCTCTCTCCCTTTCTCTCTCTCTCTGACATTTTTTTCTTTAAAATATATTTTATTGATTTTTTACAGAGAGTAAGAGAGAGGGATAGAGAGCTAGAAACGTCAATGAGAGAGAAACATCGACCAGCTGCTTCTTGCACACCCCCTACCAGGGATGTGCCCGCAACCAATGTACATGTTCTTGACCGGAATCGAACCTGGGACTTTTCAGTCCGCAGACTGACGCTCTACCACTGAGCCAAACCGGTTTTGGCGACATTTTTTTCTTTAATTTCTTTATTGATTAAGGTATCGCATATTTGTCCTCAATGCCCCATTCTAATCCCTACTCATGCCCCCACCCCCCTATTGTCCTTGACCACTGGTTAGGCCCATATGTATACACACAAGTCCTTTGGTTGATCTCTCCCTTTTATCCCCACCCTCCCTCTGAGGTCCAACAGTCTGACCCATGGCTCCTTATCTCTGAGTCTGTTCTTGTTCATTAGTCTATGTTGTTCACTATCCCCCTGATCTCTTAACCTACACCCTGATGCCGCCATGACAACTCGGTCCTTCCAACTCTTCCAGCAGCCTGTCCTCTCTCTGATCTCCTGCTCCTTCTCATTGGGGTCCCCGTTTGGAAAGCTGCAGTTCCTCTCCTGCCCCCTTCCCCACCCAGCCTGACACAGGCACTCATTAGGTTCCAGATAGGGTCCTTTCTCTGGAGAATTTCCCTGGCCTTCTGTGTCTGGCTTGTGGCCCCTGCTGTGCACCTTGCCCCAACTCCCTGTCCTTCCATTGCAGTAATACTGACCAGGACGAGTCTGTGTGTCCCCCACGATGCTGTAAGGCGGGTGGGTGCTCTGTCGGGCTTTTTGTCCCCGTGTCCCAGGGCTGATAGTATGGTCTGAGCAAACAGACGCACCCACCCATCCTTCCCGGCCACCCTGGTGCCAGCACACACATGGGTGCTCACAAACTCACTCCCCTCTCACCTGGACAGAGCAGTATGTTCTAGGGACACTCCAGAATGTGCGGAGAGCCTGTGGATGGAGGAGGAGGCCCCTGGCTTCCTCGGAAGGGGAGCTGCCAGCACCCCAAAAAGGGGAGGATGCTAGCGTATGCTTTCACTGTTGTAGGCCAGCTCCAAGGCTTCCCGTTCCATTTGTTGTTTTGGGAACTAGAAGTTCACTTCTCGGAGGTGAGAGGACCAAGGTCACAGTGAAGGGAGGGAAGCTAGGCTGCTGGTCTGGCCTGTGAATTACTTCCCATCGCGGTGAAAGTTTGACTATGTCCTCAGCGAGGCCCGGCCTGTGCCCAGGGGTGTGAACAGAACACTCTCCCCCGGGGGGCACGTCACGGTCCCGTGGCCCAGCCATGTGTGGTGTCATCGGCTGGCTCAGCCACGCTCGGAGTGGGGCTGTGCGCCTGCATTCGTTACCGTGACTTTGTGCTCATACAGCAATTGTAGGCGTCCTCCCTCCCGCACCCCTTCCCACCATGTGACTTCCGAGGGCTCTGGGCTCAGGTGAGTTTTACCTGCTCTGCCTGCTGACCCCTGGTGTGGCTGGCGTTGTTCCCTGGTGTGCACAGCCCGGGGGGACTGCCTGCCTGCCTTCCCAAGTCTTGGGTTTTATGTGGCAGCTGTAGTTGAACCCTACATCTGTTTGAGGCCCTTTACTGAGTTGGTCTAGAGCAGTGGTCAGCAAACCGTGGCTCGCGAGCCACATGCACTCTTTGGCCCCTCTGGTGGACAGCCCTGGGAGCAGCTCTGGGGCCACTGCCTATGACGCGCTTTGCTTTGCAGCTAAAGCTCCCTGGGGTGAGGAACAGAGGTGCGGAATGTCCAGGCAGGCGACAGATGTCTTTCTTGACTCCGCCCGGCGAGGCTCCTTTCCTGTTAACATAGAAGAAATCCGAAGTAAGCGTGGCCTTTGCCAGCTCACCTGGAGCTGCCCTGTGCTGTTGCTGAAGAGGGGGGGACGTCTCGCCGCGCTTGAGTGTGCTAACTGTGGAAGCCTCTCTGTGGCTTGAGCTTGTAGGACAGCAGTCGGGGCTCCGGGAACACCAGCTCCGCCTGCTACCAGCTGTGCAGTTTCCAGGCAGGTTGGGTGACTGTCTTGTCCCGGTTTGCCTGGGACTGTCTCAGCCTTAGCCTTGGAAGTCCTGTGTCCTGAGCACGTGTTGGTCCTGGGCAAGCCGGGATGGCTGGTCACAACACAACCTGAATGACCTTTCCAAGCACTGACGCCCTTGGCAGAGACGGTATGGCCTGTTTCTTAGGCTTATCCTGGATGTAATAGGATTGTGCGTGTGGAGTGCTCGGCGGATGTCTCCTGCTGTCATACAGGGCCCAGAACCACAGAAGTTTACTGTCTGGATTCTGGAGACCGAGGTCTGAAATCAGTGTCTGTAGGGCCGTGCTCCCTCTGGGCCCCTGCTGGCTGTTCCCTGGCTTCTGGGAGTTGGCTGGCCGTCTCTGTTCCTGAACATGTTGACGCTGCATTGTAATTCTCCGTCTTCCCATGATGCTCTTCCTGCACCTCTGTCTCTGCCTCCAAATGTCCCCTTTCCTAAGGACCCGCCATTAGATTGAGGCCCACTTCATTTTTACTTGGTTACCTCTGTCAAGACCCCGTTTGGAAGGAGGCCACATCTGAGGCAGCCAGGGTGGGGGTCAGGACTTTACTGTATCTTTTGGGGGACACAGTGTGGCTCACAGCAGCGGGGCTAGCGATGGACTGTCATTGCTGTGTGTATCATTATCTTCACAATCATCGAGAAACAAGAACGTGAGAAACGGCTCCTGCACCCAGGAAGGGAAATGGCAGGAGGCCCCTTCATGCCACAAAGAGGAGCTGGCTGGGATTGCAATTCCATGAGTGAGCCATCTCAGTGCACAGGCTCTGGGCACAGCCCCCCTGACCCTCGGCTTTTGCTGTTTTGGTGCAGATGGAACAGATGAGGAATGAGCTACTTCAGGAGAGAGCTGTGAGGCAAGACTTGGAGTGTGACAAGATTTCCCTGGAGAGACAGGTGAGGGCCGCTGGCCCCGTGAGCCCCCCCCCCCCCACTCCTTTGCACAGCATGCAGAGATACCGGGGGCCAACCTTGCCCAAGAGAGGTATTTCTAAAATTATTTCCAGCGAGAATTTTCTCAGTAAATGTTAAATATGCTTGGAAGTTTACAGGTGGGGGAGGTGGAATTGCAAGTGTTTTCTGGAGGCTAAAACAGGCTAAATTCTAAGGTAAAGGGAAAAATAAAGAATTTGTGTTACCAAACACACAAGCTGCTAACCAAGCTTACTTACTCGTTATCTCTTTCACATGCTGTTCATGTAAGTTCTCCACGGAATATGACATGTGATATTGGGGAAGGGGCCTATTTCTCCTGCCAATAGGTTTATGAGAGGCCAAGGTCCTTTGTCTGATAGGAGTCCTAGACCATGGCAAAGATTTCACTCGGGCTTATAAGTGAATGTGACAGAATCTCTCCTTTTGGCCTGCCAGGACTGGGGTGCAAAGCCATTCCCTGGAAACACCCCTGGCTCCCCAGGTCCCCCTGGGCCATCCACCTTGGTGGGGAAAGCGGGCTCATCGCAGTCACTGACCAAATGCTGGCTCCCCCCGTGATCTGCTCTGCAGAGTGTGAGGTGGACACACAGCCCCTCACTGTCTCCCTGTCTGATTCCAGAACAAAGACCTAAAGAGCCGGATTATGCACCTGGAAGGTTCCTACCGGTCCAGCAAAGAGGGGCTGGTGGTGCAGTTGGAGGCCAGGATCGCAGAGCTGGAGGACCGTCTGGAGAGCGAGGAGAGGTGAGCCTGCCCAGCTGTGGTGTGAGGCCTGGCGGGCGGGGGCCAGCACATCGCAGAGTGCTTTGCCTTTGCATCTTCCCGGAGGCCTTCGTGTGAGGAAGGCAGAGCAAGCACAGCCTTGCTATTATTATTCCCACTTGACAGATGAGAAAACTGAGACCCACCCACGGAAGTACTTGAGAAAGGTAGCCTGAACATTGGTCTAAAACTTAGGACTCCTGCTCTTAGTCCATAGCATTTTCTCTGTTCCTTGCTGCTTATTTTCCTCATAAATGACAGAGTTTGAGCCAGAGGCATGGGGGCTGGCTCTGCTCTGAGGGCCAGTGTATTCACTCAGTTTAGCAAAGGCCGAGTGGCCATCTGTCAGAGATGGCAGGTTGCCCCACAGTGGGTGGGAGGAACATGGGATCAGGTGACCACACCTTTCCAAAACCATGATTCTTTGCAGCTAGTCTCCCTTTGCAGCCTGAGGACCAGCACCAGGTTGAACTTGACCAGCCTCAGTTCTTGCTTGTGGCCCCTCTCCTTCTGGGAGGGGTGTGGGTATGACATTTCACATTCTTTATTAGCAGTAGGAATTCTGGAGGCTGGGCTGGAGCAGCCTATAGTCGTAGCCTGGCAGCGACCTCTGTCTTACAAAGTAAAGCTCAGGACAGACAGATCCCAGGGCAGGTCTAGTCCCAGCTCAGCCCCTTGCTGGCTCTGCAGCCTGAGGCAGGTCACTCCCCTTCTTAGAGGCCCTGTGTCCTCATCTGTTCGATGACCAGCCCTTTCCTCCTGCAATCGAGTGTCTCTCTGACCCTCAGCCCTGAGTGGACCAGGCAGCTCTGGCTGGGGCTTGCCTTCCTGCACAGCCTGGGCCAGGCCTCCGGTGGGGCTGGCCTGAGAGAGCCCTCCGTTTTCCTTCCCCCATCTTTCCAGGGACCGGAACAGCCTCCAGCTCAGCAACCGCCGGCTGGAGCGGAAGGTGAAGGAGCTGGTGATGCAGGTGGACGATGAGCACCTGTCGCTGACTGACCAGAAGGACCAGGTGAGGGGCCCTCTGCAAGTTCATTTCCGATGAGCCTGCACGTCCCAGGCTGGGAAGCCAGAGGGCAGCGAGGCCTCTGTGGATGGCGAGGGAACTGTGGTGGACCGATCCCTGTCTTTCCACTCTGCCCCCTTCTCCATAGAATGGGGTCCTTCTAGGCTGCTTTAGTGAAGGTCTCCGCCAGCTTCAAACCCCGAGCTTGACTTGTAGAATGCAATTGGTCTGTCACAGAGCTTATCTCTGCTTTCCCGTGAGACTGGTTGTACTCCCCCCCCCTTCTCCTGCCCCTCCCCGCATGTCGTGGTTGCCTAGAGAGGTGGCTGGACCGCTGGCCTGTCCACGCTGGGCTATTGTCCATCCAGCTGGGCTGGTGAGCAGCAGCACTGATCTGCCCTCTCTCCCTATGCAGCTGAGCTTGCGCTTGAAAGCAATGAAGCGCCAGGTGGAGGAGGCCGAGGAGGAAATCGACAGGCTCGAGAGCTCTAAGAAGAAGCTGCAGAGGGAGCTGGAGGAGCAGATGGACGTGAATGAGCAGCTGCAGGGGCAGCTCAACAATCTGAAGAAGAACATAAGGTGGGCAAGTGCGTAGACCCCACAGGGACATTTGAAGAGAGCTCCGTGCTTTTAGGCCACCCTCACTCCTATTGCTTCAAGCCGGTTTCCTGTCGCCTTTCGGGGTCATCCCACCTACAGACGAGAGTGCCTGTGCCCACTGCAGTCTCCCCACGTGCTCAATAGGGTCTCACATGCGTCATCCCCAGATACTGTCCCTGTTGTCCAACAGGGAAGCTGAGGCTCAGAGCAGGTAACACTAACTCCCACCGCCACGGAGGGGGCAGCTCCTCAGTCAGCCCTTAGCACTCCTATGTACACATAACTTTGGGAGAAATAGGGTAAAGTTTTGGGGTGCATCCTCATGAGGATTAGGATATCCCTGGTTGCAGGAGAGAATCGCCTCTACAGCCCCACTTCCGTGGTCTGAAGGGGATTGGGCGGCGGGTCGCGTTCCCTGCAGGGTCACTGCCTTGGGCATAGGGGTTGGGATGGGTTAGGTTCACGTCCCCCCGTGGAGTGGAGCCTCTCTCGGAGGCTGACTGTGCTGGCGACACTGGTAGTTCTTTGATAACGGACAGAAGATTCCAGCCCCTGGAGAATCCCATCCGCAGGGCTTGTCCAGCGAGAACTCGGCCCCAGGGCCAGCATTACAGGACAGCATTTAAGGGGGCACAAAAGTCTCAGTAATCAAGAGAGATAATATTAAATGCGATATATATATTTTTTTAAAATGTAAAACAAAACAAAAAAAAACAACCCTCCATTGGATAAGATATCAAAAATTTAAGATGGGATCAATAATAGCACCTGATCAGCCACATTGGAGCTGGAGACAAAAGGGAAACTCAGCACTACTGACCTTGTCCCTGCCCCGCCCACCCAGCCAGTGGCTTCTGTGCTGAGAGCTGGGCGCTGGCTCCCTGTTGGTCGAGGTAAATTCCCGTGCCCCCTGCCACTCCGTGGGGTGGAGAGGCAGGAACCCAGCCCCTTCCTCCGTCTCCAGATCGGGGTGGGCCCCAGGGCCGGGACTCACGACCTCGCTGTCCCCGCAGACTGAAGAAGCTGCCCAGCAAAGTGCTGGACGACATGGACGATGACGACGACCTCAGCACCGACGGAGGGAGCCTCTACGAGGCGCCGCTGAGCTACACCTTCCCCAAGGATGCCGCCAGCCAGCTCTGAGCCCACTCCCGGGCTGTGGAGGGGGCTCACGTGGCCGTCCTCCCGCCCAGGGACCCTCAGCCGCCGCAGCAGGAGGCCGGGGAGGCCGCACGTCCTCCGGAGTGGAGACCTTCGCTGCCTCTTCCCATAACCTGCGCTTCCCCCACGCTCCGCTCCATTCAGGGGTGTGTGAGCGAACTTGGCTCTCCCGTCTTCGGGAGCTATTGCAGGGTGATGGCTGAGACACCTGAGGCCCGGCAGCCACCGCCCGCTAGGGTGCTTTGAAAATGTAATTTGTCAGCCCAAGTCCCCTCTGTACCGCTGTCCGCCTTGCTGCTCCAGCCCCCTGCCCTCCCCCCGCCAGGAGAAAGCGGCCAAATGCTGGTTACTGTTCAGTAGCCGCTGTGCACGGTGGGAAGTGATGCTCAGGCTGTACCTATTTTAAAGCAACTCCCCATGACCGCTGCTGTTCCGTTCCGGGATGTGACAGAGGCTTCCCGGGGGCTTGTCTGTCGGGTTCACACGTCTGTATTGAGTATTATTTTTTAAAATGTGAAGCTACTAGATTCTAAGTATTGAGGAGCAGAGGCACGAGAGAGAAGACAGAATGAAGACCACGTGGACATCAGAGCTGGAGAAAAGGGATCGGCCTGGTGTTAAGGGACCGTGAACCCCGAGAAGAGACACTCGGGGGGTCTCCGTACACAACTTCCTGACGGAGGAGCGAGTCGGGGTCACTTGTGTCCATGGCCTTGGTGGTTCATTTTGTCTGGAACCTTGTGATTTCTGAACCGGGCTGAGTCTGGTTCCCAGGCACCACTTCTTGGGGAGATGTGCAAGTAGGGCTTCTGACAGGTGATGTGGTTTCTGGAACTTGGGGCTGTCCTGTCATTTCTCATTGGTCCTCTCCTCCTTTTCCGACAGCAGGCCTCTGCGTTGTGCTCTCCGGTCCTTGGGCAGGGTGGTTGCTGGATGGGGAAGAGGGGAGGATATGGACTTAGGGGCCAGGAAGAGGCAGGAGGTATCCAGTAAGGTCACAAGGAAAGGGGGAAGGGAGGAGAGAGCAGGTGTGTGTGGGTTTGGGTGGGAAGGAAGAAGTCCTTGAAAGCTGGGGGATGTGTAGACAGGAGGTGGATTGAACAGGATCTCAGGTTTATGTCAGGAGAGGGAGGAAAGAAGCTGAAATCAGGTAGAGGTGTGTCTGAGCAAACGGGGAGGCTCTTTCCAACTTCCTGGGGCAGAGGGACATCGGCCAGCACCAGGCACAGAGTGACTGCCATCGGGTGCCGTCTGGGCCAGGCCACATTGCAGGGACAGAATTATAGGGAGCAAGCATGGCACTGGGAGGGTGCAGGCTATCCCGTCCTTCCTCCTGGCCATCCTGGTGTCTCCCACTGTGCCAGTCCCCAGGCACACCAGAGAGCCAGGGCCATCACAGCTGGGCTGCCATCAGTCGGGGCCGGGGAGAGGACCCTGCGAGTCGTGGCCATGGGTGGGGCAGAGATGGCAGCGTTAATCTGCTTCAGAGGCCCACACATCCAAGAGATGGGAGGCCTGTGCATTGGAGAGCTCCGTGACGGCTGCCATTGGAGAAGCCTGGTTTAAAGGCATGCATTAACGCCACACACACACACATTCACACACACGCACACACGCACACGCATGTGCGCACACACACGCACACACACACACAACTGAGGCCCCTGGAGCAGGAGAGCCAAACCTTCCGCCACCTCTGGTTTGGGCTGTGGAGAAATTCCTCCCTTTAGCGATTGATTCATTTACAAATATTTATTGGGCATCTACAGTGTGTCAGGCCTGGTCCTGGGCACTGGGAATAAAACAGTAAGTAAAATGGATCAAAATCCCACTCCTACTGGAGCACAGTCAGGGGAGAGGGGGTGATAGACAGCAGACACACAAACGGACACAGCGGCCGAGCCCTCCATACCCAGCCTGGATCCCGCTGTCCTCTCGGGATGCACCAAGCCTGCAGGTGGTCAACTGGCTCTCGGGAACTCCAGGGTTCCTTCCACCCTCAGCAGGTCCCTGATTCCCCCGCTGCTCCCACCATGCTGAGGCATTTGCCAAGAGGCTGCCTGGTAATGCCTCAGCCCACTCGCAGCTGAGGCTGGGCGGTGAGAAAGCTCTGATGCCCGGGAGCTGAGGGAGCCAGTGAGTGTCCGTCTTGTTGGTGAGGAAGTCCCTGCCCCTCACGTTGGCCACTTCCTTCTGGTTCCCATGGGCTGGCTGTGAGAATGGAGACCAGACCTCACCATTCAGAAGACTTGCATCCTTATCTAAGAAATGGGCTGTTTTACATGCTACATGTGCCCTTCTGCACGGTGTTGGAGCTGGCAGTGAGCTGGGTGCCTGGGGGTGGGGGGTGGGAGGTGAGGATTGAGGTGGGGGGAGTGGGTACTGGCCTGGACGTTAAAAGGGGTATTTCTAAGTCCCAGTTTATCTTGCCCTGGTGATTCCGATGGGGCACATGCCTGCGGAGCCCCAGATTCCCAGAATAAATGAGGACCAGAGCCCAGACCTTCCCAGCTCTGGCAAGCTCTCATCTTTTGATTTTATTATACACATGATTTTTGTTTGTTGTTTTAAGGACTAACCCTACTCAAGAATATTTTCTTTAGCTAGCTTGAAAACAAAATATATTTTATTTAATAAACAAATACGTGGCCAAATGCAATGCCGAGAGACAATCACCCTATATCTTTATAATTGTTTTCCTGCTTCTGAGAGTCATTCGACAACGCCAGTCGGCTCCTTCCGTTGGGTTTCCGCACTCTTTGGTTTGATTGCTGAGGTGTGTCATGGGAAGAGATGTTCTGAATTAGCTGCCTCATGTAAGTGAACTCCTGGATCAAGCAAGATTGCCTTTCAATAAACTGTATCACCCGACAGGAATCTCAGCGCTCCCATTATTTGGACTTCCTTGTTTTCTCCAGAGCGAGGCTCTGTGTCTGCCAAGAAACAGCCGCAGTGAATGGCTGGAAGCTGCTCCAGGAAGTGAAGTATGGTGGCATTCCGGCCTGAGAGCCGTTTCTGAAGCATAAGGGTGGGCGTGGGTCAAGGTGAACTGAGAGAGTGATGTGCTGAGAAGTTCAAATTGCCATTTCCAGCAAACGGGAAAGTGTGTTCATAACTGAGAATAAAGAGGCGGCTCCTGTTGACTCCTTGTTCCTAAACTAAACTTGTTCTCTTGTTATCAGTTTGCACATAATCTCTCACTTTTTTTGTTTTTGTTTTGTTAATCCTCACCTAAGGATATTACCCCCACCCCACTGACCATTGACTTTTAGAGAGAGGGAGAGAGAGACATCAATTTGAGAGAGAGATTGATTGGTTGCCTCCCACATGCATGAACCTGCAAAGCTTCAGTGTGGGCCAATGCTCTAACCACTGAGCACACTGCCTGGAGCTGCACATATTCTCTCTTGATTTATAGCAGGCTGACAGCAGGTACCATGGTCTCCCATTTTATAGGAAATGAAACAACAAAGACGATTAGGGAGCACCAAATACAGGAAGACATAACTGGGCAAGTAACACAGCCTGGCACTGGGTCTCTGAGAATTGCCAGGGAAGGACTTTGGTTTGTTCTGTTGAGGAATTTGTCCTCTCACCACCAAGAATTATCAGTGATTAATGTTTGGTCTTGCCTGCTTCACCTTCTCAAATAAAAGAAATACATTGGGGATAGGGTTGAAGACTCTCCCTTTGTTCATTCCCTGCTTCATTTGTTTATTTTTCCATATAAAATAGGGCAACTATATTACCCAAAATCTGGAAAGTAATCCCACCAGCCTAATGCAGCCATCACGAGCATGTTAGTGCATTTCCTTCCAGTCTTTTTTTCTATGCACTTTTTAAAGATAACTACAATCACAGTGTTTGTGATTAAGTGTGCTTCGTTGCTACTTAACATTAGAATAAGTATGTTTCCTGATGTTAATCTTTATTATGTTTTAAAATGCTGCTTAACATCCCATAGAGTGAATTCCACTTGGTTAATTGCCACCTCTATATTATTGGATGCCTAGAATTCTAAATATTGACTTCCTAACCCATAATTCTCACTAGAAGTGGAATTACTGAGTTATCAAGTGAAAAACACACACACACAACTTTAAGTCTCTATAAGTGTTGCCAAGTTGCTTTTCTAAAGGCTATACCAATATGCACAGACACCAACAATATAAAAACATGGCAGTTCCTCCAGCTGCCCCTCTCATTAACCTCTTCTTGAATAACAGACTGACCTCTTTCAGCAAGTTAACCTCCTTTGTATTGTTAGTGGGGTTTATAAGTATTTTATAAGATGTCCTTTTGTGACTTGTCTATTTTTGTCCTTTTAATTATTGTCTCTAAGGCAACTGTGTTTTTAATTTTAAAAAATACAAATAGGATAATTGAGTAAAACAGTGAAAAGCAACTCTTTCATCTTTGACCCAATTTCTCCAGTCCCTATGCAGACTCAACCACTCTTTCTGGTTTCTCTTATTTCTTCCAACTCCGCTTCGCGATGTTGCTTCTGGGCCCTGGGATTTATGTGTTCCCACCAGACATGTTCATGGAGAAGTAAATGAAAGCCACTTGAAGGGATTTATAAAAGACTAGAGGCCCGGTACATGAAAATTCATGCACTGGAGCGACGGTTCCTCAGCCTGGCCTGCCCCCTCTCATGGTCTGGGAGCTCTCAGGGGTGAGAAATGGTCCAGTGATCAGGGGAAGGCAACACCCCCATCACACCTCTGCTGCTGCCATTGCTGGCAGCACAAGCCTCGGCTGGCCCTGATTACCTGAGCCTCAGGCAGTTCTTAGTGGCTGGGCAGCTGCCATCTGAGGCTTGCCTGTGCCTTGGGCCGGCCCTGGGCAGCCGGGAGGCTGAGGGGACTGGGGGACTCCAGAGGCAGACGCCCCAGTGGAGCTAAGGGGACTGGGCACCATCATCTTGTGGCTGTTGGCGCCACCATCTTTGAGGGCATGGCAGTTAATTAGTATATTTTCTC